CCCAACAGATAGGTTCGTATTTTGGATCCCAACTGAGTATCTATTAATAAACCAAAAAAAAATGTATAGAATAGAATAGAATAGAATATTTTTTATTCAATATACATTACATGTGTAATTCTTATTGAAAGTCATTTTTTACTTTACCACTGGTTCGAAAAAAACCCTCTGTCCTGGGAAGAACCAGCAAGAAACCCAGCGGGACTTTTTTTAAAAAATAAATTTTACAATATAAATGATTACGAACTATTTACAAAATTTATTTTAGAAACTGCTTGGAAGCGATCACCTCATTCTCAGGGGTTATTATCAACCATGTATTCATTTATACTATAATAACCCTTTTTATACAGTTTCAGCTTAATAAAACATTTAAACTTGGTAATAGAGAGAACCTGTACACTTTCCGGGACCTTGTTGTAATAGCGTATACATTGCCCCAAAAATGAATTACTGACTCTTTGGAGTCGAGAAACTGGTATCACTAGCTTGTGTTTGTTCCTAGTGTTTACAGAATGTATATCACTTCTTTTACTAAAACTATCTTTGTTTTTGTGAACATACATTAAATTTTCGTAAATATACTGAGAGGCCAAAGTTAATTTATTAATTTCTTTAAATTTATCTCTAAGAGACTCTCTCGGTTTTAGATTGTAAATAGCTCTAATGGCCCTCTTCTGTAAAACAAAAATACTTTCTGAATCAGCCGCATTTCCCCATAGCAAAATCCCATAAGACATGCTATGAAAATAACTAAAATAAACTAATCTAGCTGTCTCGACACTAGTGAGACCTCTAATCTTTTTTACAGCATAGGCTGCAGAACTTAGTCTGCTTGCTAATTTGGATATATGGGGGCCCCACTGGAGCTTTGCGTCAAGAGTGATGCCAAGAAAAACAGTGGATACAACAGGGCTCAATTTCTCCCCATTTAAAAACACATTGGCATTCAGATTTTTAACATTCGTTGTTGTAAATTTAACACAATTAGTTTTATTTCCGTTCAAATGCAGATTATTAACGTTAAACCAATGCACTAATTTTGATATAGCATTATTCACTTCGTCACATTTAAATGATTGACGTTTAAGTTTAAAAATCAAGGAAGTATCATCAGCAAATAATACTATATCATGATTATCCCCTATAAGGTGAGATATAATAACTTTACTTAACCACCTGCACCTCACGGTCAAACTAGTACAATATTTGTAGCATCACGCTATTTTCCCCAAGGGGTTGAGCGGAGCTTCGGATTATATTACCAAGTCACAATTATAAAACTTTTAGTGTAGTGAGGTATAGATATTTAGTAATGCTCCTGAAGCGCCGCTAGATGTCCACGCATAAGACGCGCGGTTTAGTATGGTAGGATAGTATAAATTCCATAGTATTTGATACTCACAACGCCCGATGCACGATTAACGCTTGATGTCCGACGACTGTGTGTCGAGAGCTTGATAGCGTGGTTCATTGCCTACAGCGTAGGTCGTAGAGAATAGGAACTCGTGGTTAATTATGCTGCGCGGATCAATTGATCTGCGAGATTAAGCTGAACTTGTCGCAGTCAGTCCATGGATGGGTGACCATTTTCATACCGAAATTGAGAGAATAGACGATGCATCTGAATCCTTAGACATCTCGTACACTTTAATATCTCCTTCGTATTTGACTAGTCTGTGTAAGATCATTCCGTTTTTAAATTCATGACACTAAAATGATAATAAGTTTATCATTTTTCAGGGACAGATGAAAGAGTAGCCTCATAAACATATCGGCTTTTAAACAGATTAATCTTTTTTAACTGACTCCTATAAGTTTCCTTACTCAAATTTAGTTTAATTCATATTTAAGTCGAATATTAAAATTTATTCCTATAATGTATTTAATTATTAATTATTAAATGTTTGTAATTGTTAAAAGTAATAGTTATATGAAAAATAAAGCAGTCATTATGTACTGAGTGTCCCGATTTTTTATTTCAACTGCAAAACATTTTATAAAATATACAATGTATATTTAAGTATCTATCATTTATAGTTCATTAAAATTATGTTAAAAAAGAAATTCAGGGGAAACTGTCCATGACAGTAAAGTTTTTCCAAAGGTCAAAGCTCGAAAATACAACTTTTCGATCTGATTCTCGGGGAAATTGTTTAAGTTTATCGGTAGACTCACCTCTTCAGAGATTATTGGGATTATGTACATTTTGGATTAAAATCCAACAAAAAGCCGGTAGGTACAGATTATTCCCGGGAACATGTTATTTGAATATTTTTTAACTACTTTAGAACTATCGTGGTAAAAATTCAGTACATTTTTGAAATTATTCAGTTTTGTGCACTAAACCATTTTTGTAAATCTTTATACTTGGTACGGCATACAGCTGCTCCAGCAAGGGTCGAATCTTCCGGGGACCATGAGCAGAAGATTTCACGAGCAGCCGCAGTTCGGGCCCAAAATGGCCACATGGAAAATGTCCTATCATACTAAACTATATGGTAGAATGCTAGGAAAATATAGTACGTACCTGTTTCCGTTTCTAAGATCGCCCCAAGGCTCGGTCAGGCCGTAAGTGAGTGTAAGGTGAATGGCAAGTAGTGTTTAGTGATGTGTAAATGTGTGAGAGCTTGACCACCTTAGGCAAACGGCAGCGGCCGAGTTCCAGTCTGCCCCAAAATGCTGCATCGCTCCATCAGGGTCCACCGCTGAACCATTTCTTTCTTCCTTGTCACTATTTCAGTCTATTAGCATCATTGCACATTTAACTAACTTAAACTCGCCTAATTCCTCCTTCATCGTAGAATCGAACACGTGATACCCGACACAGTAAGGACAGTAGTTCTAATTCGACATTCAATGTCCCGGATTCACTTATCACAAAATCATAAAGAGGTAATTGAAGCGATCTCTTAATGAGTCACAATATTCAGCGTTAAACACAACTAAGTTTCTTCATTCGACACCAAAACACCACGTCGCGAAAAGATTCAAAATACGCTTCGTTGACACGTAAACTAACATGCCAACAACACACAAAAAATGGCATTTAACGCGACGGCACAATTATAATGATTTCCTGACGATCAACCGGGAGAAACTCTCGAACAAGGAAAGCGCGGTTCGAATCTTAGACCGTATATCTACTCGACGCGCGCGTGCACAATTCCGCATCTCCGAACAAGTTAAATATTGCAAAATTCACATATCCACGTAAGGAAGTAACACTCACTCTATCTAACTATCTGGACCCGACAACGGTCGCGTGAACCTCGGCCGCAATAAACCAGCTACGCGGGTTCCCCGCTTCGCGACCAGTGGGCAACTCCCGATGATGAGGGATAATATATATCCGATAATTATAATATAGGTATATCATATAAAAATACTTTTAAGATGTTTTGAGAGTTAGTTACGAGTTACAGTCGCGTCGCAATCATATACAAGTTCTATAAAGGTGGCACAAGAACTTTTTGTATATCTTTTAGCTCCAAAATCACATTTCATGCACCTTTGTATCGCTTTACAAACTCACCATGCCGCTATTGTACTGCTGCCTTAGCACTCAAACCCGTATATAGTGGGCCCCATTTCAATGATATAAAAGCGATTGAGAAGTTCTTTATAGCTACTGTAGCACTTACATAAGGAGGTAAAGCCATTACAAATACACTGTAGCGTTTTGTTATAACTCTTGTGTGCTACTTGGGTGTGATGATGATGATGAATCTCGAATCAACCAGTCTTATTGTTGTGGTCTTTACTAACATTTTCAAATACATTTAATACGTAGAATTATGTAAAAGGTTTTACCAGTCTTATCCAAAACTGAACTAACTATGACAAAAAATGCTAACTTTTGAAGGAGCACACACATATATATATAAATAATCACGCCTCTTTCCCGTAGGGGTAGGCATAGACCACTTCTTTCCTCTTGCTACGATCCTTACATACTTGTTTCGCTTCGTCAACTTTCATTATTCCCTTCATACATGCTCTTCGGTTTAGGGTACTCTTGACCTGGCCTTTTTTTCAACACGTCCCTGATTTGGTCTAGAAACGTCCGCCTAGGTCTACCCCTTCCAACACTCAATCACACTCGCCTTATACACTTTTTTCGTCAATCGTTCTTCATTCATTCTCTCGACATGGCCAAAATATGATTTGAGATAAGTGATGGAAGGAGCACAACTTTATAGAATACCCTCTAGTATTAGAATTTTACACTCTTTCAATGCATTCAAAACTCAACTTAATCAGTATATAATTACGTATCGATCACTACTGGAGAAATGAAGGCATTGAATGGGTATATTTAATTTGTAACTGATGACGACGAACTTTGTGTAATATCATGTGTTCTCAAGTGAGTGACATATGTCCTTATTGAGGATAAAGTTTCTTTAAACCTAAACCTAAAACCAAATAACCAAAATACAATGCAATTAGCCATTTTTATCGAACATCGTTCCGCGAGCGCTGTGTAAGTTCGGAAGATTGGTGTCGGATTTACGACAACCAGTTGTGTACAATTACAACAAGACTGACCGTCGTGTAGTGTGGTAGGCCCGGCGTTTGTACCTCCGATTGGGTTTATTATGCTCTGAAATATTATATGAAATCTATACTGTTCCATGTTTTCTACAAAACTACTCCATCTACGTCTGTGAATCATTGGACGTATGAATGGGTAACTAATATACGTTCATGTGTCCACTAGTAAATGGCATTTGTAATCTTGCCTACTGTTGACAACCTAAAACAAATATAAAAAACGGAGTGATTATATGCTCTGCGTTGTAATAATTTCATGGTCTGCGTAGATTGGATGGAGTGGAGGATTGAACATGACATATTATGTCTATGGTTGTTGGCAAAAGAAAGGAAGTTGAGTTGATTTTGTTGAAACGTCTGTCTAGTTAAAGTTTTTACCGTGTTTTGGCGTAATTTTACGGCCATGTGTGGTTATATTTGTTCAATAAACAAAAGTTCTAGTGATGTTATCCACTGCGGCAAATAATAAAGTTAAAAACTCGAGAGGATTGGAAAGTTCCGATGTTCCAGATCGAAACGAAAGCGGACAAGAAAACAAAACTGATGATAAGGTCAGAGGTTATGTTGGAACGTACGATGGTCCGTCATCCTTTGGCGGGCCACACCGAGATGGTAGATTTCGATCTCGGGGCCGTATTACTGAGTATAGGCATTCTAGAGGAAGCGGGCGCGGTTCTGGACGCGGCCGTGGCGACTTCCCGCCAAGGTCTGATCATGACGAAAATTCCTACAAATATCACGAACCGTTAGGACAGTCCAGTAATGACTCTTGGTCCCAAGGAAATAATAAATTTTATGAGCGATCCGACCTCGTTGTAAATTTGCCGGAAGATCCACGTATATCTAAGCTTTTGCGACGTCTTTGTGCAGAAGTTGATGTAGAGAAGTCTCTGGTTATATGCAGCAAGTTACAAGATGCTGTATTGTTGCCAGAAAATGCACGATATATACGAAGATCTTATGATATTTTAGTTGAGTCATTATTAGATGTCTTATATGATGCACCTGGCCCAGAAACTAAAGAAAAAGCAGCTGTTGTCTTGGGAAGGATTGGATATGTCATGGGACATGATTATAAGAAACATCTGGAGTGGGTTGTATCAAATTTCTCTACTCATAACACGTCAATTAAGCATCTATTGACTCTGTCGTTCTCTGAAACATTTCAGTTGGACTTCCAAACACCAAATTTGTCTGACTTTGCAGAGATGACATTGGATAGGCTGCAGGTTATTATTGAAGGAACAGATTCCGCTGATGTTTTTATGGCTGCTATCAATGCAATGATTGTTATGTCAAATTCATACCCTGAACATTTTGCTAATCATTTTGTAGACACTGTGGATATTCTTGTTGGATGGCATGTTGATAATGCACAGCCTAAAAAGATTAAGGATTTTGCTCTTCAATCCTTATTCAAATTAAGCCGTCACTGGCAGGCTGATGTTGGGTTTTCTGTCAATTTATTGAATCAATTTGTTGAGGATATGGTAGCATATACAAATGAGCTAGATACTAATAATCAAGAGCCTGAAACAAATTCAAATGAAGATTGTATGCAAAAAATTGCATCATTTTTAAATGTCTTTAATACGGTTGTAAAGAGTCTGGGTACACTCTTAAGCCCTACAGTTTCTCAAACAGTCTCTTGGTCTTTTCTGACTGAAGCAATGACAAAAATATTACAAGTTTTAACCGAAGTGTTTAAGGATGATGCCGAATCAGATTTGATACTAGCAGGTAATGAGTGTGTTACACTACTACTTAATTACTTACAGACTAAGGCTACTGCCTGCTTGTCAGCATTATGTTTGTTGATAACCCTGGAAATGACTAAATACTTACATATTGATGATAATGTTTGTCTCAGCATTATAGCTCTTATTTCAATAACCATAAAAGAAATTGCTTCTAACCTTCCAATAGAATTTATCACTCAAACAATTGGTCCTGATTCATTACTAAGGCCCTTGAGATACTCTGAGAACATCAAAATCCTATCAAGTGTTATGCTGGTTTACAGCAACTTGTTAAACTTGAAAAATATACCACTTTTGCAAGAAACCTATAAGTATGTTTTAATGGATATTCAAAATTCATTCTCTGTTATTTTACCTAACATTCAAATCATACCAGCTGAATATACAGAAGAAATCTCTAAGGATGATGCGGAAAAAAATATATTGTTTTACTTACAGTGTTTGTCTGATCTTGCGAATGCTAGCAATTCTATCATTGGTATGTGGGCTTTAAAACCAAGCATTTTAGAACTTTTGGCTATTAAAATGTGTCCACATGATGAAAATTTGATTAGAGAAAAGCCTGCCTTACAATATGCTATATTGTACTTATTATATTCCCATTGCAAGAAGAATAATCATTTTATTGCTTCAAGTGATTTGGTCACAAATACTCAACAAAGGACAAGTGATATATTTGGACTTTCAAACCTAAACATTGGTGATGTTTCCAGTTCAAGCCCCACATCTGGACATCTTGCTGTTATACTGAACACATTAAGCATAGTCTTGGAAGAAAATGTAACAAAGGAAACCTTATTACTTGTTTTGACTTGGATCTCAGATATTCTCTGTCAGCTGGATAAATATTTGCCTATTGTGAGCTTATCCAAGGGTTTCTTGGTATTAACTACTAATATGTTATCACTTGCACATAATTTTGATGATGACATTATTCTCATTGTTCTACAAAACTGTCAGAAATTACTAAAAAATAAAGGTTTGGTGTGGAATGTGATGTTACTGAAAACAATGGCACTCATTTGCATTTTACACATAGATAATCTAAATAAATCAGTGTCAAATGTGTGCAAAGACGTGTTATTCCAGCTGCCTTGGGATGTTGTTCAACAAGAATTGGACAGGCAGATGGTAAAAGTATTTACATCCAGAAAGTTTAACCTGACTGTCCTCAACTGTGACACAAAGCTGAATGCTTTAAAAGAATATCTTAACTTGAGAGGACCATTTACCACATTATCCAACACACATTTTAAAGCTATAATTAATTGTCTTCTGCAGCAGACAACTATTGACAAAAACCTGATGATTGATGCTTTTTTAGTTTCATGGCCCATACAAGGTCAAGGTCACTTTTTAGATGTGACCCAAAAATTATTATTTTTCCGTGAATGTGCAACAAGTTTTTCTTCCATTTGCATCAGTTGGGCTCTTTCAGAGCTGGCACAGACTTGTATAGCCCTTAAATTGAGGACTGCTTTAGGAAAACCACAAGAAACTTTTATGAAGATTGAAGGTGCATTGAAAAGTATAGCAAGGGATATATCTTCCAGTGATACTAAATATCTTGCAAGTGAACAGCAAAAATTACTTGATGTTATTCTTTCAGAGCAGGTTAGAGCACGTTGGTTTATTGAGTTCATGACTTTCTTAGAAAAATATACATATAATGCCGCTGAAGGTACTGCAACTGTTCTGCCCGCTGTCATTAAACCTGTAAGAACCTTTTTTCATACAAACTGGTCAACATGCCGTGAGTGGCAAAATAGAGTGCGTCCAGCTGCACTTGCTGTCAGTCTATATTCTGGCCACCTTGGAGCAGTTATTTATCACACTTCACTTATTTTACAAGCAGCTGCAAATTCCCATACTAATGTAGACATTGAAGCTATAATGACTAGCATGGCGCAAGCTCTCATTGAAATTCAAGAACCAGAAGTCTTACATGGTTTGTATATATGGATAAAACAAAATTTTGATAAAAAAATCCCTTGGTTAAAAGGGGCTGCTGAACAAGCAAATTCTCGGTACGAATTGGCCATTGAGTTTTATAAGAAATTATATGTCAATGCTTCTAACTCAGAGAATGACTCTACTACTACTACTGCTCAGTTAGATGTAAAGGTGAATAAATTTGTTAATGAACAAATTATGGAAAGCTATAAAAATATACAAAGTTGGGAAGATATGCAGCAGTGGAAACTTGCTGCCCAAGAAAATATAATAAATCTACAGTGGGATTCTTTTACGGCCTTAAATATATTTGAAAACAGTGCTGAGATTCCAGAACAACTAGCCGATTGGGATGTATTGCGACTGGATACTACTGAAATATCAAAAAATTCTTGCTCATACCAGAGTCTTCTTAACAAGATTGAATCCACACTAGTGTACACCGCATTAAACTATTATTACAATGATTATGATGATAAATTTGATGCTATGCTTAGAAATTGTAAAACGCTGCTTAATGCTAGTGCTGAAGAATTTGCAAGAACAAATGCTGTACACTTTTTGAAAGAAATTGCTGTGTTACAATTGGCAAATTATGGACTCACAAGTATTATAAAGAATGGAAAGGCAATATTAAATCCTTTTAAACCATCTGTTGTCAAAGAACATAAATATGGAACTGAACTTAAAAATTTGACTAGAATTTTGTGGTGGAATCAGTACTTCACGAAATTGAACATGACTGAAGAAAACATATTCTACACGGAATGTCTCAGGCTAGATGTTATCAAAAGCGCAAGGAAAAACGCGAACCTGGGCATGGCTAAAAGAGAGCTATTGAAACATTTCAAACATAACCCTGCATTCCAAATGTGTATTGTCAATGTGAATAGCTTGGAAGAGATAAGTGATATACTTCTCATGTCTAACAATACCTATGATTTAGATATTTGGACTTTGAATAATGCCAATGCTCTGGCAGAACTTTGCAAAGTTACTTATGCAAAAGAAGAGACAAGAGCGCGTGCCATTAACTTATGTGCAAATATTTCTCTTGGCTTTTCGCAACGTCTAGCTATGGGCGAACAAAGTTACGAGCTGAGAGAAAAAGGTACAAGACTGCTCCTAACGCTCTCTAAATGGGTACAAAGCGAGACTGATGATATAATGGAAAATGATTCACCGTTAATGAAACTAGTATCAGCATTGCCCGAGATTGGCCTTGTAGATAATAATATTTCAGAAAATGTTATTCCACTTTCGGATTCTGCAGTTGGGAAACTTTTACAATTTGGAGTAAACCAATGCCCAGGTTTAGCAAAAGCATGGGCGAGCTTTGCCTCATGGTGCTTTAGATGGGGCCGTAAAATGGTTGAATTTAGCTCCAAAACAAGGGAGCAACTTACTGATAATGATAAAATACAAATAGAAGGTGTTATGATTGGATGTTCGCCTCAAGATTTTGAGGCTGTGTGTGAGATTTTATCTAAAACTAAAGCTACTTGCGATGATGAAGACATTGATTGGAATGAAATCAACACTTCTGAAATGATTGAAAATCAGTTACGCACAGTTCCTTCGTTAAATAACGCTTTTCCGGAACATCTGGCTTTACTTGTTGATATTTGGCGCCAAGCCCAGAAAAGAGTATTCTCATACTTTGAACTATCAGCTGATGCTTACTTTAAATTTCTGCAGCTCATTTGTGCCTCAGATTTTATAAATCACAGTGGAGAAAATGCAGTAGTTAATGCTACATTAAGACTTTTAAGATTAATTGTTAAACATGCCATGGAGTTGCAAACGGTACTCGAATCAGGCTTAGCAAATACACCTACACAGCCTTGGAAGGTTATCATACCCCAACTGTTTAGTAGACTTAATCATCCCGAAACATATGTCAGAAAATGCGTTTCTGACTTGCTTTGTCGATTGGCAGAAGATACACCACACCTCATCACATTCCCCGCAGTTGTTGGTGCAGTTGAAAATGAACAAAACAGTTTGACGGAATTAAGTGTTCCCAGATCTTATTTATCTAATGAAGATGCTGAAAGTGAGGAAGACAATCTCGAGTTAGAAGATACTGGAAGTGATAAGATAACTAATAACGAATTGAACTCCTGCTTCTTGGACATGGTTGAAACATTGGCAAAACAAGCTCCAAAAACAATTCTTCAAGTAAAATTGTTAGTAAAGGAATTACAAAGAATAAATTTACTGTGGGATGAATTATGTCTGGGTACATTGGTCCAGCATCATTCCGAGTTTAATAAACGGCTCACGCAATTAGAGACAGAAATTGCGAAGGTTAAAAATAATGTACATTTGTCAGCAGAGGAAAAAGATAAGCTTATTAAAGAAAAACATCGCATTATATTTGAACCGATTGTGTTTGTGCTAGAGCAGCTTCACCAGATTACGTCGGCCAAACCTGAGACGCCACATGAAACCGCCTTCCAAACTAAATTTCAAGCTCTCATCACCGATGTTATAGATAAATTGAAAAATCCGACAAATCCTGAAAAGCCTCAAGAGTCATGGACATCGTTAAAACAGTTACAGATAAAACTGCAACAGAAAGTTAATAAACGCACATCTTATATTTTGAAAATGTCCGACATCAGCCCTGTTTTAGCAGAGATGAAAAATACTGTGATTACTATGCCCGGATTGCACACAAATCAAAGAACTGTTAGAGTAACTATAAAATCCGTCGAGAACAATGTTGCTATTTTGCCCACAAAGACTAGGCCAAAGAAACTGATTTTTTATGGATCAGATGGGAAAGCTTATACATATCTCTTTAAAGGTTTAGAAGATTTGCATTTAGATGAACGGATTATGCAGTTGTTGTCTATAACAAATACGATGCTGGCTCGTGATTCTGAAAACAATGATAATCAAACATACAGAGCCCGCCATTACTCTGTCATTCCTTTGGGCCCTCGGTCTGGGTTGATTAGCTGGGTGGACAATGTTACACCACTTTTCGCTTTATATAGGCGGTGGCAAAATCGTGAGGCTGAAATTCTCATGGCCAAAACCAACAAGACAGTTAATGTGCTACGGCCCTCGGAGCTTTTCTATAATAAACTCAATCCTTTACTAAAAGAAGCCGGAATATCAACGGAAAACAGAAAGGATTGGCCTGTCGCAATCCTCAAGCAAGTTTTACAAGAGTTGACAGCGGAAACACCTAAGGATCTGTTGTGGAGGGAATTGTGGTGCAGCAGTGTCTCTCCTGAGCAATGGTGGCAGATGACGCGACGCTACAGCTACTCTGTGGCAGTAATGAGCATAATCGGCTATATAATAGGACTTGGTGATAGACATTTGGACAATGTATTAGTGGATTTAACATCCGGTGAGGTAGTACACATAGACTATAATGTGTGCTTCGAGAAAGGCAAGACACTGCGAGTTCCGGAGAAGGTGCCGTTCCGAATGACGCCCAATTTGGTGACGGCTCTCGGTGTGACTGGAGTTGAGGTGAGTACTTTCATAATATTATGCTATGATGTATTTTTTGCATACAAAAACATTGCATAGTAACACTGTTCCCCATCAATTGTTTAGATATCTTGGACCTTGCAATTTGTTGAGATATATTTGTTTAGAACTTTTCTTTATCTACTTAGGATATTTTTTTAAATTATTTAGGGCTGGATTATCTAATGCCACTTGAATGAACCAGATGAAGATCATGATTAGCATGATGTTTTGATTTAAATGTTTAATATTAAAACTATTGTTTAACTTGGTGTAAGTACAGAATATAATGTCAGTGAGTCAGTGACACAAAATTATGTTTTTACCATGTTGTTATTCCTCTCATTGATTCTTTCATATATCTCATCATTCATTACAGCCTACCAAAAGCTCATTGCTGGACATCGGTCTCTCCCATAGATTGCGCTTGATAGGGGGGATATTTGCCACAGTTGCCACGCTTTTTTTCAAGAAGATGCTGATGCCCATCTGCTGTTTCATTTCCCTCTGTAGTTACCTACAACTCCCACACGATGATATGGGGTAGTGGATTCTATTATGTTGCAACTACATGACGATGAGTCGACTATTTTAATATATTATATCAATTTATGCAAAATAAACTTGTTCTGCTTATAAATAAACTTCTTCTTTTGCTCATGGATTGAACTTCCTCCTCAAATTCGTTGTATGACAACGATATATAAGTTTAAGACTTGTTATCATCAGCGAAATTAGATTTTTGTATTCTTTCTGTATTTATTAATGTTATTTCTATGTCTCATTGTGTTTAATCTTATGTATGTCTATCATATTTTTGTATATTATATTAGTGTATTATTTTCTTATTTTAATATAATATATTGGTTTAATTTATTTAGGTATTTGTAAGTTTACTATAATGTACACCACCTCCCTCTGCCCAATAGTACATTTTCTTCTATATTTTCTTTGTATACATTTTTCTAGCAATTCTCAATTTTAGCCCAACCAGATGAGAAAACTATATTAATACCCTACTTAATAATATTATACAGATTTTTAAGTAATGAGATAGGGGCATCTAAAACAAAACATCCATTTCTTGGCGATGATTAATTGGGGCGAAATTGATATTAATTCTGTAAAACAATTTTTACGGATTTTATCGCGTTTAATTAACTTATTTTATATTCCCGACGTTTCGGTTGCTTTCCAGCAACCGTGGTCACGGGGGACTGAGGTGATTGACGTCCCGATGTCAAAGTTAACCCGGAGTACCTTTAGCTTTTTAATTATTAATTTTGGTCCGATCTACGCAGAATGAACTGTGTCTTGAAGTCTTACAGTGGTATGCTTGGGTTTAGTTTTAATTTTATGAATTACAGGATCCCAAGCAGGTGGTAGTACCCAGCCTCCTTCTCTATTGAAATTAGGATGTTTTTTTATTTCAATAGCCTCACGTATCATCCTTGGCAGGAATCGATGTTCTTTTGCGAGGACTTGTGGTTTATCAAATCTAATGTAATGACGGGGGCCGTCTAGGATATGATCACAAACTGCAGACTTCCCGGAACGTTGGTGCTTCACGTCAGCTATGTGTTCTTTTACGCGGGTTTTTATTGATCGTTTTGTTTGCCCTATATATGAGAGACCACACTCACAATCAAGCTTGTATACTCCTGCATCTTGTAGAGGAATATTGCACTTGACGGATGGTAAGAACTGACTAATCTTCTTCGGCGGCTTGAAGAATTACTTACGTATTTTACGCCGTACTTTTATTTACGTAGGTACTTATCGTTCTGTTTCGATGTTATTGTATTGTATTTGTATCTGATTTATTGAATCATAGTTTTTAACATAATAGTCCTTAAACCTTTAAAAAGTCCGATTCTAATGTTTTTAATGCATGAGTACATTCTTACGTCTGTTGACCGTTTTCGTTTCTCATATACATACATAAACACTCACGCCTGTCACCCAGAGGGGTAGGCAGAGACTACGGATGGTGGTACCCAGGGCGGATTTCTATCAAGCACCACCCAGAATAAAACAAAAAATGCTAAACATGCATATGGGACTTTATTTTGCTAAAATATTCTATTACATTATTAAAATTTACTTGTCCTTTTCGATAGATAAAATGGAAAGATTGGTTAGTCGCGATTGGCTCATTGTAGACCTTAAGTAAGATTTTATTAACTTGAGTTTTGAAAAGCTTTTTTCACATGAAGCTACGGAAACACACAGACTAACAGATTCTGAATAGCCCCGTTTTACGATGAATCTGAGAAGCACATTGAACCGCTTCTTGGAAAGAATTCCAAGTGGCGCCTCCAATTCACAAATTATACCTCCCGTAGAAAATTCATCGTAGATTCTTGTCAGATTTGAACTATTACACGAAGATCTTCTGGTGACGTTAGCAGAGTGTAAGGCTGGACAACAGTAAATGTTACGAGAATATCATCCATTGCCCTGTAACGATGGTCTAGTTCTTCGTAAAATCTGTCAAGACATTCTAACATACCTCTCTGTAGCTCCTCTGGCTATGTTAGTCCAGCGTATCGGGACATTTCTCCTGGCAAACGTTTTCAAAATCTCCTTCCTCTTCCTTCAATCGAAATGTCCAAGTCCACACATTATTTTAGTTGCGTAGGAACTTTTCCACTATATGAATATGTTGGCTTTGTAGAAAAAATTTTAGAGCTTTGTTTTTTATCACACACTTTCCCAGTGATAGTCCAGATATTTGTATTTAATTTTGCGCCCGATTAACTTCTTTTAGGACATCACACCAAAAGGAAAGATAGCATAAAAAACTGAAGTCATACAAAGCTGGTAAGAGTGTGGATACAAGTTTCTCAAAATTATTTTGCAGTGGTTTAACAGCGTCGTGATGAGCATTCCATCTTGTCTCTGAGAGTCTTGATGGCTACGCCTACACTTTTCATTAAAATTTCCCATCGATTTGTGGATAGTGAAAGGAACGTGTAAACTCTTTCTACTGTTCCGAAAAAAGTTAAACTTGAATTAACACTTCCAAATAACTGCACTGCACATAGATTTAGCGAATGATTAGCTCAAGGCGTAAACAACGCTTTGGGATTGCGTTCTTTGATTCTGGCTTGTACGCCGCCATAAACTCCTGCCGTGATTGCATCGTCATCATACCCTTGAACCCTCACCTTCTTCGATCGCGTTATTCACTCCACTAAGCGCTACCTAAGCTGAACTTATTTATTTAGAAAATTAAGTTAAGTTCGAATGTAAATAATAATAAATTTGAGATATAATATATTAAGATATAATATAAATTTGTATGCAGGTAGAATACTATAGTAGGTAGCAATTTACTCATTGGTATGTCTGCGGAGTAATTCTTCTGTAAGTAATCTCTGGATGTACGAGTGAGCTGTCGTTGTCACCCTTTGGACCCTTGGTGCTTGGCACCTGGGACGGACCGCCCACCATCGCCCCCTTTTACGCCTCCACTGTCCCTGTGCCACCCCACCAAAGCACCATGCAGCCTCTTGGTAAAACTGAGTTTATCGCATTGAATTTTGATATCTTTAAAATTCTTTTGGGGAAAGTAAAATTAGTTCTAATACTTATAAATTTGTCTGCAGAAGAAATGGTTGTATTTTGTACAGCTCTATTCGTGCTCTCTGTGTCGACCGTCTTACCGCGTATCTGTCGCATACGGATAAATTAGGATTTAGGACCAGTTTCACATGCTATTCATTACGCGCATACTATGTCTCCTTTGATCTAGTGATCGTAATCGTGACTGCTGATTATGTGGTCCCCGGTTCGAATTTCGGGTCGGGCCAAAAATCAGTCATAGGGTTTTCTGTCAAGAAATTCCCAGTAGCAGCGCGGAGTCAAGAAATGGGCGATGTTTAATATACCTCGAAAAGCACGTTAAATCGTTGGTCTGCGCCTAATCTCTCTTCGGTCGTGTCGGTTTGTCGTCCCATAAGTGCACCGGTGCTTGCGCACACCCTCGTGCACTATAATCCTGTAGAAATGGCTAGGCGCCGTTGAAACTGGCCGCAGTGAACCTAAATTTGTGCTGGAGGTCATTATTACTACTAGTACCTCAGCTGATAATTTTTAGCTAATAACAGAAGTATCAAAAGCGACCTGGAGAGTATCATCATTGACCGTTTCTCTTAATTACCTTTTAAATTAAACTTTTTAACTTTACATATTATTTACTACATATTGGTTGATGACTAGGTGTATCAGTGGTCGGAGTCATTGAACTTGAATGTTAAGTGTCTTCACAATTGTAATAAAATGTAAATTGCTTTTCGGGTTTTGGCTACGTTGCGTTATCGTTGAGCATTTACATAATTTGCGTTGTTTACCAACACAATCCGCTCGCCCTCATACAATATACAGATCAGTAGAGTTTGTCGATACGAATTGGTTCGGGAGCACGCTTTTGAAAACAATTTCGTAAAAACGTCGTTTTGAATGGAAAATCGAATCGAATTCGAAAACAATTTCGGGAGTAAGCCCCGTAGAATGAGGGTTAATAATGTTCCGTTCACCAGATGTCGCTAGTTGACACTGAGGTGAAGTTTCTTTTCACACAATGTCATTTAATGGAGAAGTTAGTTTTAAATAAGATTTTATCAGTTTCTAGAGTAATAAATTAACCTTTAGCTGCCGACCTGGTCTAAACGTAGCACTTACGCCGACGTGACGACTGAGAGACGTCAAACTTTAAGTACTGAAATAAAATGTGTATTTGCATGCTACATTTTTCTATTTTATACTTTAAAAAGATTGGTGTTTGAGGTAACAAACCACAGAATTAAAAAAAAATACACGCTATTTTTCAGGTAATATCAACATTTATTCGAGAGATCACAATTCTTTGGCACTAAATTTTAAGGACTTACTTCAGTCTCGTTTTTCTCTAAAATTAAGTAATTAACACCAAATGAACTTAAAATATGTTATCTTCTATAAACTATTATCAAAACAAAACATAAATCTTACTTCTT